TGCTGCTCAGACTGCCGCGGGCCGTGGCCGGGGATGTCTCGGAGCTGTTAATCCGTTGACGTGCCCGGTTTTAAAGCCCGGTACACGTGTTGGCGCTGTGCCGTCAGAGCCCCGCGAGTGACGGGGGACGGATGCCTCGTGGTGCCCCCAGAGCCCCGGGGACCGGCTGCGAACTCGGTGCTGCTCAGACTGCCGCGGGCCGTGGCCGGGGATGTCTCGGAGCTGTTAATCCGTTGACGTGCCCGGTTTTAAAGCCCGGTACACGTGTTGGCGCTGTGCCGTCAGAGCCCCGCGAGTGACGGGGGACGGATGCCTCGTGGTGCCCCCAGAGTCCCGGGAACCGACTGAGAAGAGAACGGGGAAGGATGGATGTGTGTTTTCCTAGGAGATAAAGAGAATAAGTTTCAATAGTTCGGGTGGTTTTTGACATATTGTTAAACTTGGGTTGTTTTTCACAGTAATTCATGTTTTTTTCTTGATGTCAGGGTTAGCCAGCTGGTGTGTCTGAAATGCAGAGCGAGTGGGTTTTCACCTGAATAAATTCTGCATCTTTTTGACAGTTTTCCCTGTCAGTGATGAAGGGCAGCACGATAAAATATGTAGTCTGAAACTGGTAGTACATTTTAAGTAATGTGCAGTGCTTTAAAAACGTTTTACTGACATTTTCTTGCCAAGGTTATGTAATAGAGCAGTTTGGTATTTTAAAAAAAAGGTTGCAGAGCGGTTTGGTATTTAAAAAAAAAGGTTGCAGGCTGAAATTTTTATTTTAAAGAATCTTATTTTTTAGGTCAAAGGAAAATCTTACAGAGGTAGGGACCATACGTTTCACCAGAGCAGTAGTATTTAATTAAGATAGTATCTAAAATAACAACTTGCTCAGACGCGCATCGTGTTGTCAGTGTCTGTGTTAGCCTCATCCTCTCCTGTTTTCTCGCTGTCTGACTCACTGGACAAGGTGTGCCTTAAATTTGTTATGACACATTGTCCTGCATGTGTCATAGCAGCTGGCTGCTACACAGGGTGACCAGATGAAATCACAGCAGATCCAGCAGCTGGAATGGCAGAGGGAGCTGCCACCTCCAACTGGAATGAGGTTGTGAGGGAACAGAACTTCCCATTCTGTGTCTGCACAAGTAATTGAGCTGCAGAGGTTCAGACTGCTCCTCTCTCTTCACCGAGACCTCTTTCTTTTCCATGTTACCAAAAGGCTGGTGCTTAGCTGGTAGCAGTGCTGATGTGGGTGTTATTGCTGTATCCTGAGGTAGAGTTAGTGCTCTGTATGGGTTTGTTCTTGTTACGGGAGCTGGTACCATTTGCTGGGTTTGAACAGTTACCTTGGAGCTTCAGGAAGATACAGAATCACAGAAGAGTTGAGGTTGGCAGGGATCCCAGAAGGTCCAACCCCTCTGCTGAAGGAGGACCACCCTGAGCTGGTTGCCCAGGAGCATGTCCAGGTAGTTTTTTAATATCTCCAAGGAGGGAGACTCCACAGCCTCTCTGGGCAGCCTGTGCCAGTGCTCAGTCACCCTCACAGCAAAGAAGTGTTTCCTCACGCTCAGACAGCATCTCCTGCATTTCTCTGTGTGCACCTAGCCTCTGGTCTTGTCACTGGCCACCACTGAGAAGAGCCTGGCTCTGTTCTCTTTGTACCCACCCTTCAGGTATTTGTATATGTTGATGAGATCCCACCTGAGCTTTTTCTTTTCCAGTCTGAACAGTCCCAGCCCTCTCAGCCTTTCCTTATAGGAGAGGTGCTCTAGTCCCTTCATCGTCTTGGTGGCCCTTCACTGTCCCTCTTGTAGCAGGAGACACAGCACTCCAGCTGTGGCCTCACCAGTGCTTAACAGAGGGAAGGATCAGCTCCCTCAACCTGCAGCCCAGGATACCATTAGTCCCTTTGGCACAGGGGCACATTGCTGGCTCATGTCCATCTTGGTGTCTACCAGAACCCCTAAGGCCTTTTCTGCAAAGCTGTGCTGGCACTTGGGCTTGTTCCTTGCCAGGGTCCGGGCGTTGCACTGCCCCTTGTTGAAGTTCATGAGGTTCCTCTCAGCCTCTTTCTCCAGCCTGCCAGGGATGGCAGCACAACTCTGGTGTGTAAGCCACTTATCCCAGTTTGGCGTCATGAGTGAACTTGTTGAAGGTGCACTCTGCCATATCATCCAGATCATTAATTATGATATTAAACATGACTGGACACAGCATTGACCCCCAGACTACACCGCTATTTGCTGACCTCCAACTGGACTTTGTGCTGCTGACCACCACCCTCTGGACACAGCTGCTGAGCCACTTCTCAGTCCACCTCACTGACTGATCATCCAGCCTGTGCTTCATCGCCTTCTCTGAGGGTCTGGTGGGAGACAGTACCAAAAGTCTTACTGAAGTCCAGGTAGAAGACATCCACTGCTCTCCCTTTGTCTGCCAAACCAGTCCCACTGTAGAATGTTGTCAAGGATGACCACCTTGTCATTTAGAAAAAGGACTGAGAAGATGATCTTGTCACAACCCGTAGTGTGGCCAAAGGCTCTCGCAGTAATGATGCCTGCACCAAACGGTCCTGTTTTTCCAGAAGAGGTCAGGTCAAAAGCATTAAATGAAGCAGGTTGATCAGCCACGGAAACTTCAACAAATACTGGGCTTGAGGTCATCTGCTGTAGAACTGAGACTTGATACTGCCAGTGGTTTCTGCCCAGCAAAAGCAAAGCCGATGCTAAGGAAGCACGCCTTTTTTGAGTATTTCATTAGCGGAAGTGTGGCTTGTGTAGGATGTGTATGTAATTGCAGAGCTCTACGGTACTGAAGAGCATCAAATTTAGAAAGATTTGAGATTCCTTTTTAGCTAGATTAAATGACAGCCAGGGTAGATTTAAAAAAAAAGAAAAATACATCAGCCAGTTTTTAGCAGTTCCTTTTTTATTTAAAACAAGGCTTACTAGTAGTGTTTGTACTCTTATTTGCATTTGTCCTTGTTCACTGGCTGATATCAGAAATTTTTAATGGCTATTTGAAATCAAAATACCATGTTCTGATAGGACTGTGTAACTCTTGCTGGGATCTAGACATAAGATAAAAAAAAATTGTTTAGCTTAAAACTTCATCTTGTTTTAAGAAAAATCTGTTGGTTTTGGTTTGTGGGGTTTGCTTGTTTGTTTGTTTTAAGTATGTATGTAACATGAAGTCCCAAAGCTGGAAGTAGCAGTTGTAGAAAGTCGACTGTTTCTAATAGTGTTGTTCCCTTTCACTTTTCAGCTCTTCTGGCATTATTGTGGTGACACTGTAAAACAGAGGAGTCTGTCTAGGCTGTAATGGATGTGCAAGACACTGTCGACACCAAATTTTACTTTAAATTGCTAATTCACCCATGCAGTTGTAGAAGAGACGGTTTCTTCCATTCTTGGGTATCATAAAGCTTGTTCTGAATAAACTTTCAAAAACATTCTACTAGAATGACCTCAGCTTTGTGTGCTCAGTGTGCTATTTTGAGTTTATTTTCATGTATTACGATGCTGCTGGGCAACTAATGTTTTTAACAAGCTTCTTCACAATCGTGTCTCTTTTCTGCTTGTAGCAGTACATGGTAACTCTGTCAGCTTCTGGCCAGCCCAATAATGAAAACAGAAGCTAAGGATGGAGAAGAGGACAGCCTGCAGACAGCATTCAAGAAGCTAAGAGTTGACACAGCTGGGTAAGTAACACCACAGGGAGGTCTGGAGTTGACATGTTACAAACAGACTCTGAGGGAACACCCTTACTTTTAAATTTGAAAGAACAAGGTCATTCTGAAGGGTTAGGCCCTGAAAACCTTTCTAGTTAAACTGAAATAAATTCACCAGCTCTGGACTGCACTTCTCAAGAAACTGTAATTTGTTTGATCGCCGTTAGCTCCCGACAGGCTTGTAACAAAGCTAACAATAGCCAGCGGTTGACAGACAGTGTGTTTGAAGTGAATTTTGGCAGGAATCTGGCTGCCAGAGGTTATGTCCGTAGCACTAGAACTCTGCTGTTGGAGTTAGCATATTGTCATGGCTCTGAAGGCCTGTCATGAGAATTAACTCCCATCTTCTCCCAGGAGAGAAACTTTCTCTGCATGTCAGGAAAGGAGAGTGTTAGTGTCACTGCATGATTCCCACACAAACTCTTTTTGTTGCTGTCACTTACAAATTTCCTATTTATACCCTAAAACACTAAATGGGAAAGAAGCCTTTTTGTGTTGTCTTGTTTCATGTGGTACTCACCCTCTCTGTCCCAGGTGGCAGAGCACAAGCAGCATGTGTCTCCTCTTGGTGATGATCATTTTTATCTGGAGAAGAAAAAAGAAAAGGCTTCTATATAATGTTTTTTCTGCTGACAAATATGCACCGTTACATATGACTTGTACAGTGCCGTGTTTCAGGGAGCTGTTGTCAGTGATACCATTATGCTGGTGACTGAAAGGAAGGTGTAGGTAAGACAGTATATAAATATCGAGGTGGTAACTAGAATTACCATAGATCATGAGCAGATGGGCTTCTAAAGTTAATTAAAGTCTATAAATTTATCACTATGCAAATACCTCTCATTTCTTTAGTATCTCCAGTCCCACCCCCCAATCAGGCATACTTCATTACTTTGGGGTTTTTATTGTTGGCCTTCACTTTACTGCTCTGTGTTCATTGTTCTTTAAATGGAAAACAGCAGGTGTTTGACTAATAGTTTAGCATCTATTAAATATCAGTTAAAGCTGATCTCAAACAGTGTGTGGAGACTTATTTGCACTTTTCAGAGAATGGTCCCTGCTTACAAACAAATCTGGTACAGGATTTGGAATATAATTGCCTTGTGAATTCCAGTGTAATATGTGAAGTCAAAAGTTCTTGGGATTATGACAGCTCCTTGAAAATGGGAGTTTGGGATGAATTTATAGCACCAGAAAAATTAGTGAATCTTCTAAGGTCCCTGGCTCAAATAGAAGTTGAAGATGTGACACGTCTGTTGCTCAAGTGATTGAACTTGCAGTAGTATGTAGAGTTTTAGCTTATGTTGTCCTAGACAGAGGCTCAAGTGTTCTTCAGTTAAACAAAGTCTATTTATGTCCAAAGAACATTTATTTTTAGGAAAGAATGGCTTGTTTGTCTCTGGAAAAAGAGATGTGTTTCTTCAGTGATGGTGTTTTTCCCCTCCCCTCTCCTGGAAAACTGATATTTAGTCATTGTGTGTGCCTCATCACTGATGTGTGGAGGTCGGGCCTGCAGTCTAGTTGCTGAATGGCATCACGTTTGGTGAAAGAGTCTGTTACACAAACTTTTGAGATAGGACTGTGTAAACACTGATTTGGGTCTTCTTTGTGGGCAGATCTTTGAATACATACTGTAAATGATTTAGAGCAATTCATAAGCTTTTTCATATTCCTAATGCTAACCAGTGTAGGCTGTTAACTTTTCATTCTCTCTTTCACAGATCTACTGCTTCTCTCTCTGTGGGTGAAGGGACAGGTTCAAGAGCACTGGTTAGAACAGTGGCAGATGAAACCAAACCTAAGAGTGTGTGTACTTCTAAGGAAACCTGGCATGGGTAAGAGAAGCTTGGGATTCTCAAACTACTTCAAATGATACTGCATTGGAAGGGAATTTTAAACAAGTTTTCTAGTAACTACACCCCTACACAAGGACCCAAGTTTTCTTTATTAAAAAGACTATTTAAAATACTCTACACCGCCTTTTTCTGTTCATATGTGACTACTATTCTTATTTACAGTTATATGAAGTTATATATATATAATATATATATATAACTATATATAGTTATATATATATATATAACTATACTTAAGTTATATGAAGTGAAAGGAAATGCAGTTCAGTTATAGGTTTCTAAACATTATAGATGGGTCTTAATAGAAATGTGAATTGCTGTTCATCTCTTTCAATAACTGTTTGGAAGAAAGCTGTCAGTATGCCCTGGGAACTAGATTAAAATAAACAGTTGGTTTCTGGAGTGTTGATGCAGAACTTTGTGCTCATCTCCTATTGAAACAAAATGACCACTTGGCCTTGATTAATTAATTTTGTGCTGTTGTCTTGTGCTTTGTTCTTCTCTTAGAGGTTATTTTGTCGTGTCTCACGTGCTTTGCTCATTAGCTAACCTCAAAAGCATGCACTTTAGGTTTAATTTCTCAGGTCAAATTCCAAGATAGTGGAGTATCCTGAGCTTAAAGCTCTTGCATGCAGTGTATGTGCAGTAGAGATTTTGCACAATGTTATTTGTAATCCTGTGACAAGTCTTTCAGTGAATCTTCACTCCCTCCTGTATCTTTCCCTGGTAGGTCTATGAAGAAGCCTTCAAGAGGGGTCGTGAGAACTCAGCGTCGCAGACGTTCCAAGTCTCCAATTCTCCATCCTCCAAAGTTTATCCATTGCAGCACAAAGTCACATTCCACGTGCAACCAGCTAGTGCACAAGAGCCAGAGTGATGCCCCAGATGACAGCAGTGGGTTTGGGATGCCAGTCCCAAAGGAAGCTTGTGCACACAAACGATGCAGTGTTGCTGCTGACGTCGGCCAGAAGAGGGATGATGTTGAGTCTTTGGGACCTTCTGCTAGACAGCCAGTATCAGAGAACAGGCAGGAGGACTCCTCAGCTGCCGTTTCTCTAGTATCCAAAGGAAACCTAAAGACTACAGAGCTTTCCGACTTCCAATCTATGTCCAAGCTGAACACGAATAAGCCATGTGCCTGTGCAGATAAAGCCTGTCAATGTAAAAGGTGGCACGATATGGAAGTGTACAAATTCTCTGGCTTACAGAACACCCTCCTGTTGGCCCCTGACAGGAGGACAGTTTCTGAGGACCACTCCCAGTGTTTGCCATCAAGAACTCCTTCAAGTTCTCCACGTTCTTGCTCTGAGCAAGCCAGGGCCTTTGTGGATGACGTGACTATTGAAGATCTTTCAGGATACATGGAATATTACTTGTATATTCCAAAGAAGATGTCTCACATGGCAGAAATGATGTACACCTGACAGCAGCAAGCACTAAAAACGGAAGGGTGGGTGGTTTAAATCTGCCCTCTGTCACACCCATGTGAGCTGCAACACAATCCCTGCTCGCTGTGCTTGCAATAAAAACACTTCTTTGCATCTTAGCTAGTGTTCGTTATTTAAGCTGGACAAGCAGTTAGCTTAAGCATCTTACAGTTTAAGCTTGGAGTAGATAATGACGTGAACACGGTGAACATGTTTAGAGCACACCTGCCTATACTTAAGTGACCTAACATTTGAGAAATTCTACTTTGTTTTCTAAGTCCTTCTGTTTTGCTTTGTAGGACAAGAAAAGTTTCTAATCTTGGTGATTAGAGCTCTTAACTGTGAGCAACTTGGTGTAATTCAGTTTCTTTGAAATTGGTTTGACTTCAGGTTGTAACGCTTACACTTGTGGTTTTGGACCATCTCTTGTCTTCTTGGTACTATTACCACTCTAGGCAAATTCGGGAGACAGTTGTCTTTTCTTGGGTTGGAGGTATTACTTCTTGGTACTTAAAGAGGCTTTGTTTCTGATCAGCTGAACAGGCATCCTCCTGCCCTGTCTTTGATGATATTAGTTAGTGGGGTCGAATGCTCTTAGGTTAACATAACATTTGCTTGCTAGGCTGCCTGATGAGAAACGAAAATAGAATGATCAAAGCAAGGTTGTTTCAAGAGGTTTTCTGATCTCTGTAATGTTGTTTAGTGGAAAATATAAAGCAAGCACGACCTTTTGTTGAATGTCCAGTGGGCCTTAGAGAGTTGTCTGCAGAAATACTCTGCTTTCTTCAGGGGGGATTGCTTCTTCAGTTAACCAAAGGAAAAATGAGATGATGGACTCTGTTCAGTGTGGTTTTTTGTGAAGGCCAAAACAGCATTTGCTCGCTTCAGTTGTCTTAATTCATGCACTGTGGTGGTTTTTTGGTTTGTTTTATTTTAGCTTTGTTCAGTCTGCTCCGTAACACCAAGTATAACCCATAGACTCAAGTGAACAGTTGTCAGCTGCACAGTAGGGAAATCTTGAGCACTGTGTTTTCTTTCTCATCCCCTCCAGCCTTTTAACTGAACCCTGTCACTTTAGGTGCCTTGTCCAGGTCCAAAATATTGGTGGAGCTTTGCATTCTTCCTGAAACTTATTTCTTCAGAAACAACCCATTTGCCATACTTTGTGTGCCTCACCACAGTCTGTCTGTTATAACTATGCTCAAAGGAGCATCCCATCAAATAATGTGATTTGTTGAGGGAGAGATGAGTTGTGTTGTTTGTCTTTACTATTTGCAGTACCTGAACTTTTCTGACCTGTAAGGTCTGGAGAAGAAATGGAGACAAACACTTCCCTGCAAAATTCTTTGGTGTTACTCTTGGGTTTTTTTGGTCATTTCTGTGGCAGTACCTAGTATCTTAGAACTAAGTTTTTTTTGCCTGTTTTGCCAGTTCTGAAATGTCACTTACCCCTTGCAGAGTGTACTTGGGTCCCGCATCTCTCTTCCATTTTTCCCTACTCTTAAATAGCTGTATTTCTGCAATTATTTGGTGACTATTGTCTGCAATACTGGACTGCAAAGTGCAAAATGACCTTACTTCTCAAATAATTATTTTTTACTGTTCCCAAATGCTTGCAGACAGCAGCCACAGCACCGTTGTGGGGCTGAGAACACCTTTGAAGACCACGCTGCTTTTTACTATTTCTTTCATCAGTCACCACAGACCTGTACCTGGTCAAGTGCTCAGTAGAAAGCAGATGGAAGTCCAGGAGGTCATGTTAAAAAAAAAAAAAAAGAGAGAGAGAGAAGAAAGATGCGACCTGGTGCAGACTGGGAAGAGAAGCCGCGTGAACTGGTGCAGACTGGGAAGGGAGGCGAGCAGAGCGGTGCCACTAGAGGTCACCTGCGGGCTGGCCGGGTGGTGCGGCTCCTCCAGCCTCTTCAGCCTTCAGGGGAGAATGTTGTGACTTTATTTTCCTGACAAAATGAAGAAATAAGAGCAGCTCTGGGTGGTGCCTCAGCACGCACGCAGCGTTGGTGCTTTCCGAAGTTTGATTGTGTGGGTATGTTAGACAGCGGTCAACAAAAGCTCATTAAATGCCAACATCTGCATAAATTATTCATGTTTAAACAGAGTGTACTATCAGTTCACAACTGTGCTGTGTAATTAGGAAGACTCGTTATGTGAATAATTACATAGTCCTGAGCTTGGCATCCTCTTAGGGCCATTACAACATCTTTGGGCTGTAAGTGTTGGAACACCATGAAATAGAAGAGTTTGGGCAGCTGCAGCTGGTGCCTTAACACTTTCCCTTCTGTAACTACCGTGTGTTTTAAGATTGACAAAACAAAAACCTCTGGGTTCTGCTTTGAGAAAGTGTGAATTTCCAGCTCTTAATTATGCAGAGAGAACTTTGAAAGCGTGACTGAGTAGTCTAAAAGCTTTAGCTTAAAAAAAACCCCAACAAAACAAATTGAGACAATTTCAAAAGTTGACGGTTTGGGTTTTTTTTTAAATCTTCTGCCAAGAGGCAGTTCTGAGTTGTGTTGGAGTCCCTTACTGAAGTGCCTATTCCTTCCTGTGGCTCAATTAAGAGTGAAGCCTTTTGGAATTTTATAGTGAGCAGTTGGTCCTTCTCACCTGTGCCTGCAGGTATTTAGTAGTTTGTGTGCTGTAAATATGTACTTAGCTTTTCTTGTAATTATATATTGGATGGTTCTTCCTATACTACTTCTTCCTAGAAACACCGATGGGGAGGTTGTCTGAGTTGTAAACCTGTGTTAGGTGAGTCTGACACTCGCTCTTGTCTGTGGCAGCTTTGTCCCAGAGCTCAGCGTGGGTCTTGGAGCTGGTCTCCAAGGGCAGAGCACAGCCTGCTGATGGCATGGTCTCACCCCACAGCTCCTGCAGCTTCTCAGGATGTGGTGGTCAGTGAGGAGAAGGTCATCTCATCATGGTCTTGCTGTGACAGCGTCTTTAGGAGACGGGACAGTGTGGCTGGAAGAAGAGAGGCCTTGGATTAGGCTGTTAGCTGGTGGTTTGTTCCCTGTTCACTCTCCCATCTGTATTTGATGCCATGGATTGTTAGAGGCAAGGTGGGCTGTCACTGTTCTTCATGTGTCTGCAAATGTCCCAAGGGCTGGGTCTCACCTTTCTTTTCCAACCCTAGTGCGACTAAATGATGCTTCCAGCTGTTAAACAGAAGGAATTTCGGTAGGTTCGTTGTCATTCCCTCCCTCTCCCAAACAGCTGTTTGTAGATCTGTTTCACTACCCCAAAGCAGCTCTGGAAATTCACTTTGGAGGTAGCAGCGGTGTGAGGAGGCTGAGTGCCATCAGCCGGTGAGGGCTGTGCTCCTTGCTCTGCCTCTGCCCGTCGGGAGCGGCCCCGCCGGAGGGTGCTCCCTGCCCGGCTCTGCCCTCTCCCTCCCTCCCGGGGTCCGGGGGAGCGGGCTCGGCTCCCCGCCCGCCCCCTC